TGTTTAGGGGTACATATTTAGATTGGGTCAAACTATAAGGAAAAGCAAGGAAGCAATCACCATGGAAGTCACGCTTGTGATTACTTGTGGGGAGGGAAGTGGGGGGCTCCTGGGGGTGAAGGCAAGGTTCTCTCCTCTGCCCCAGATGGTGGTAATGAGGGAGAGCTATTCTAATATGTTGTTAACCTGGACACTGTTTTTTCAGTGTGTTGTATTTCATAATAAACATATGTTTAAGGAAAAGAACAAAGATGGTCTGGAAAGATATTTCTACATCTGGAAAGATGTAGAAAATATTGGGGACATGCTTCAGGACATGGGGCTGTGCAATGATTTCTTGACTAATAGCCGCCAAAATCACAGGCAACCAAAGCAAAATTGGACAAATGGGATCACATCAAACTAAAAAGCTTCTGTACAGCAAAGGAAACAATCAACAAAGAAATGAGACAACCCACAGAATGAGAGAAAATATTTGCAAATTACCATCTGACAAGGGACTAACAACTAGAATATATAAGGGGCTCTAACAACTGAATATGAAAAAAAATCGAATAATCTGGTTAAAAATGGGCAAAGAATCTGAATAGACGTTTCTCAAGACATACAAATGGTCAACAGGTATATGAAAAAATGCTTGACATCATTAGTCATCAGAGAAATGCAAATCAAAACTACAATGAGATGTCATCTCACCCCAGTTAAAACAGATTTTATCAAAAAGACAGGCAATAATGAATGCTGGTGGGAATGTGGAGAAAGGGGAACCCTCATACACCGTTGGTGGGAATGTAAATTAGTGCAACCACTATGGAGAACAGTGTGGAGGTTCCTCAAAAAACTAAAACTAGAACTACCGTATGACCCAGCAATCCCACTGCTGGGTATATATCCAAAGGAGGAGAATTCAGTATATCAAACAGATATCTGCACTCCCATGTTTATTGCAGCATTATTCACAATAGCCACGATATGGAGTCAACCTAAGTGTCTATCAGTGGATAAATGGAAAGAAATTGTGGTACATATTCACAGTGGAATATTATATAGTCACAGAAAAGAATGAAATTCTGCCATTTGAAATAACATGGATGGAACTGTAGAACATTATGTTAAGTGAAACAAGCCAAGCACAGACAGACAAATCTTGCATATTCTCACTCATATGTGGGAGAGCTATGTATTAAAAACAACTGATGTCATGGAGACAGAGAGTAGAATGATGGTTATCAGAGGCCAGGAAGGGTAGCAGTGGTGGTGGTGGTGGGGTGATAAAGAGGCGATGGTTAATGGATGCAAAAATATAACTAGCTAGTTAGACAGAATGAACAATATTTGATAGCACAACAAAGTGACTATAATCAACAATAAGTTAGGATATACTTTAATAACTCAAAGAATGGAATTGGAATCTTTTTTCTTTTCTCTTCTCTTCTCTTCTCTTCTCTTCTCTTCTCTTCTCTTCTCTTCTCTTCTCTTCTCTTCTCTGCTCTGCTCTGCTCTGCTCTGCTCTGCTCTTCTCTTTCTTTCTTTCTTTTTTTTTTATGAGACAAAGTCTCACTTTGTTGCCCGGACTAGAGTGCCATGGTGTCAGCCTATCTCACAGCAACCTCAAATTCCTGGGCTCAACCGATCCTCCTGCCTCAGCCTCCTGGGTAGCTGGGACTACAGCCATGCACCACCATGCCCGGCTAATTTTTTGTGTATATTTTTTAGCTGTCCAGCTAATTTCTTTCTATTTTTAGTAGAGACGGGGTCTCGCTCTTGCTCAGACTGGTCTTGAACTCCTGAGCTCAAACAATCCTCCCACCTCGGCCTCCCAGAGTGCTAGGATTACAGGCGTGAGCCACCATGCCTGGCCAGAATTGGAATGTTTCTTAACACAAAGAAATGACAATGCCTGAAGTGGTGGATACCCCAATAAACCTGATTTGATTAAGCCACATTGTATGCCTGTTTCAAAACATCAAATGTACCCTGTAATGACATACAATGATTACGTACCCATAATAATTTAAAAGAAAAAAAAATTAAGGAGGTGGAATACAGGTTTTCTTTCCTGCCAAGCTTCACAATCTAAAATAGCTGCAGTTTGGCCAAACAAGAAGATGAGGTGCTTGAAGTGCCAACGGTGGCCAGAGCGCCGCGGGAATCCCACCTGCGTGGCAGCTAGCGGATTCTGAACACCCGGCGAGGGCAGGCAGGATCAAGATTCATCTGGAAGCCTCAACCTTCCCTTGGCTCTAGTGGGCATAGTGAGTGAGTGCAGCCTCTTGGAATTCTTGGACTGTGCTGCTAGGAATCAGAATGGTCCTCAGAAAAGTCAGCCACCATCTGGACTCTGTCCTCCTGGCTCCACTGCCTCCTGTGACGGTGACCTGGTTTGGAGCAGCAGGAGTTCCCTTCCCTGTTCAGCTCATCTGTGACAGGTGCTGGTTCTGAACATCTTCGAGCTCAGGACTCTGGGTCAGTGGTTGGAGGAACAGCTGGACGCCTGGACCTTGGGCAGGAGGTCTCTGCTTTGGGAGGACTGTACCTGACACCGTGCTGCTCAGGGTGGGGGAAGGGTGCCTCTTGGCTGGGGTGGGGACAGAGATAGAAGTTGGTCCTGAACTGGGTCAGCTCTCTCCTGCCCCCATAGCTCTGGATCCCTCACAATCTCATTCAATAGCAGCCAGTGTTCTTCAGGTACCCCAACTTTCTGAGCCTTGGTTTCCCCATGATAACAATGCATATTGTTTCTTGAGCACCAGATATCGCAGGCAGTGTGCTAGGGACTTTTTATATTAATATCATGCCCCAAGCTTCACAGAATGTCAGCACGTATCCTTTACCTGGCTTCAAGGGCTCATGGCCAATCTCCATTTTGAAAGCAGGAAAGGGACTTAGCAAGTGATGGGCACAGTTACTAAGTGCAGAGCCAGGACTTGGTTCCAAAGCCAAGCTGCCTCTGCCACCCACCTGTGAAGCGGGGACAGTTGTGGGGCAGGGCTTGAAGGTGGACTTATGAAGCCTGGCATAAATGTGGCTGACGATAGCGGGTGCTCCCTTTCTGAGGTGTGGTACGCGCCAGGTTAGCCTGAGATCAGCCTGAGGGCCAAGGGGGGACCAAACCAAGACTGAGGCTGAGACCACTTCCTACCCCGAATCCTCTTGTGAAAATAAAGCCAAGCAGAGAGCAAGGTGAAAGACGAATCCTCCCTGGCCTTCCTGAGCCCATTTTTCTTTTCGGGATCCCCAATCCCCAGTCGCTGTCCCCACCCCCTGACCCACAGTGGTCCTTAAGGCTCAGCAGCCCAGGTCCCACCCCACATCCTCTCAGGAAGCCCAGGTCCTTCTAAAATGCCCTTGGTACGCCGAGCGCGGTGGCTCACGCCTGTAATCATAGCACTCTGGGAGGCAGAGGCGGGCGGAAGACTCAAGGTCAGGAGTTTGAAACCAGCCTGAGCAAGAGCGAGACTCCCGTCTCTACTAAAAATAGAAGAAATTAATTGGCCAACTAAAAATATATAGAAAAAATTAGCCGGGCATGGTGGCGCATGCCTGTAGTCCCAGCTACTCGGGAGGCTGAGGCAGGAGGATCGCTTGAGCCCAGGAGTTTGAGGCTGCTGTGAGCTAGGCTGATGCCATGGCACTCTAGCCCAGGCAACAGAGTGAGACTCTATCTCAAAAAAAAAAAAAAAAAAAGATAAAATAAATAAAAAATAAACAATAAATAAATAAATAAAGTGCCGTTGGGGCGAAGGATGACTGCCCTGGAGCAGGGAAGTTTTCTGTCTGCTTTCCCATGGTTCAGTCTTCTTTCCTTTTGGCTCAATTTTTCTACCCCAAGTTTTCTATTTCAAATATTTGAAAAATTAAAAAAAAAAATTTGGTGGGGGAGGGTGAGGAGATGTGTGAGAGAATCCTAAAATTCTCTGGTCTTTCTCTGGACTCAGCTATGAACTCACGAAGCAGGGACTGCAGGCTCTGCGGGGCTGCGAATGCCGGACACGAGGTGGACACTGAGGAACAAGTGGCAGCAGCCTCCCCTCTCTGGGGCTCTGCCTTGTGTCCTGTCTGGCTCTTACACTTTCTTCCCAAGGACCACACTTGCCAATGACACAAAGCTTTCTGGGCCTGAGAGTCCTCGCAGTGGTCTTAATACCACATATCAAAATTGAACAATTGAATTTGTGCCAGCGATTCATTAATTAAAATAGTTGTTATTATAAACACAATACATGCTCGTTATGAAAATTGTAGATGGCACAAAAAAAGCATGGAAGAAAAAGGATAAAAAAAAATCCCACAAAACTGTCCACAATCCAACTTTCTAGAATCAACCACAGCAATCTTAGCTTCTCTCCATCTAATCTTATACATAGTTTATATTTATATTAAGTACACTTACATTTATATTAAAATACAGATGCCATTTTCAAAACTCTTTATTATTACATATTCAAACATATATAAAAGCAGAGAGAACCCCCTTATCCCCATCAGCCGGTTCCAACAGTTATCAACTCGTGGTCAATATTTCATCTATTCCCCACTTCAGGCCTCTACTGGATTATTTAACTTAAAACATCTAAGTGTGGGTCTCTAAAAGATAAGGACTCTTTAAAAGAAAAATAACATCAGTATTATTTCTCATCTTTAAAAATTAGCAATAATTCTTCAATTTCGCTTAGATGCAATTTTATAGCATGGATCATGCTTTTTTTTTTTTTCAGTTAATGTCAAATCATGAGCTTTTCTCCATGTCATTACTAGTTTTCTCCTAACATGTAATTACGAATGCCTCTAACCCCATTCCATCATGTTGAGTGTGTTATAAACTATCTCATCGCTCATTGCCTCCCACTCCTCCACCCCTTAGACACTTGTAGGCTGCAACATCCTCAGGGAAATGGTCTCCATTGTCCACTCGAGGCAAACCCATCAATATAACCTGCTTTGACCACTGTGCCCCGTCCCACCCCGAAACAGGTGACCAATGAGTCCTCTGTGCCTACCTGGCGTAGACCTGGGAAGGGGACCTCCACTCGTGCCAATCAGTCACCCTGTCCCACGCAGACTCTGCCAGAGGCAAGTATTTCCCTTTTCCTCCCTCTGAGGGCATTTTATTTGCAAAGTTAGCCAATAGTATCTGGTTTCCTGTGAGATAGACTATCTTTAGATGCTGCCGCAGACAAGCTCAGAGGCTGAAGGCCAGAGCCACAGGAGGAAGACAAGCTCAGAGGCTGAAGGCCAGCGCCACAGGAGGAAGACCCGAGCCCAGGGGCAGACTGGGGCGCTAGGGAGCGAGGTGTGGGGGCCGTGCCCTCCCCCCACCTGGGTGGAGGGCAGGGGACAGGCCCTGTGGTCAGCTTAGCCCAGCCAGCTGCCATCAGCAGGGAGCCTCAGGCAGGCTGTCAAACTCACGGGGTGAGTCCCCCATAAAAGGGAGTGCATAGTACTCCCTGGCCAGCATCGGGGTGCAGATCAAATGAGCGCAGCCTTCCCTCCAAGTGTGGTCCAGGAGCTGGGAGCTTACACAAAATGCAGCCCCTCACACCCCACCCTCCACCCACTCAATTAGAAATGGCATCCTAGTGTGATTCTGAGGGGACTGGTAGGCACACTGAGTTTGAGAAGTACGGGCACTCAAATGTCTAGTGAGCGCCTCACACTTGGTAGACGCTGAATAAATATTGTTCCTCATCTCCTTGCCCCTGAGCGTTCAGTGGCTCCCTATACCTGTCAGACAAGCCCAAGTCACTTGCCTGAGGGCTCAGCTTTCACCCAGGACCTGGCCCAGGCTCCTCTGCCCTGCCCCACCCTGACTCTCAGGCCCTGGCCTGCTCCCTGGCCTGGCCAGTTTGGCCATCTGGCCTTCCCATCACTCCTTGCCTTCCTGACTCATTCTCACTGCAAATACTGATTCTGATCCATCCCTTGCTAGGGTCTGGCCCAACATGTGCCTTCTGTACACCTTCATTAGATGATGGGTACTCCTTGGAAGCCTCTCCTGGCTCCTTGCTGCCCAGCATCCTTTAGCTCCAGTCGCTGTGGACTTCTGAGGCCGGGTGCTCTGTGAACCCCCACTGTACCCCTCCTTTTCTCTCCCTCCCCAGGTGCAGCACTGACCAGGACAGAGCAGGGGGCTGGGGCCACAGGCTCAGGCTTGGTGGCCTGGCCACAGTTGAGGAAGTCCACTGCTAGTTTCCTTTCTTTGTCACCTTCTGGCCTTCGTGTTTGGACATCTTTCTCTTCCCCTTGGCCGGAAGGCTGCTGGATGCATGCAGAGTCGGGACTCTTCTGACACTGGCCTTTCTCACCCGCTCCATGATACATCTCCCAGGGCCCTCTCAGCAGGGCCAGCGCCTCAGCCTCTTTCCCTGCCTCTGACTCCCCTGCTCCTCCAAGGGCTCCTTTCTGGGATCCAGCCAAGACTCCCCCCTCTTCCAGCTCTTCCAGGACAGTCTCACCCATGCCATGTCAGTGGTCATGACCCCACATCCCCACCTCCAGCCTGGGCCTGGGCAACTCCCACATCTACCCAACCTTCCAGCTCTCTCGTCTTTCTTCTTGCTACTTAGCCCATTGGCCGCTCTCCACCCAGAAGCCAGAGAGCTCTTTCTGGAGCCCAAATTTGCCAAATCAAAAGCCTCCAAGGGTGCTCCTCATTTCTAATTTAAGTCGGTGGCCCTGCAAGCATGGCTTTAGCGTGACCTGCCTTCTCACTTCCTGCTATGCTCTAACCGCTTCCACTCCCCCCGCACGCCATCTCCTGGCCTGTGCATGTGGCAGCTCTCTTCCCTTCCCACCTCACCTGGCTGTCGGGCCTGGGACGTGATTTTACCCCACTTTGAAGCTAACCAATAAATACGCCTTTGTTGTCCTACAGACACTGGCAGCAGACAGGACTTTATGCACAGCAAGCGTGAGCATGGTGTACTGTGTCCCTTGCCCTCCAATCCTTGCAGGGTGACGCTATGGGCCCAGATGGACACCTGTGCACGTGCGAGGCAGGCTGCGTTACAGGAGAGGAGCACTGAGCTTGGGAAATGTGCCATTTGATACCAAGCAGTAAGCGAGCCTGCTCTTTGGCCCGGAGGGAGATGTCACCTCATTCCTCAAGATTTCTCACTGCAAACTCGACTCTGAGAAATGGGCCAAGCAAAGAGCGTTGGGGCTTTGCATTCTTAACACATTCATGGGGATGAGAAGAGCCTCGGCAGCCTCCTGGCTCCCTCTGTCAAGGAATCTCTAGCTCTGTGCTGGGGACTCTCTCCTCCCTGGACCCCTGCTCACCCCTGCCTGGTACTCTCACCCCGTGCAGCCTCATTCCTCAGACCCTGTCTTCATTCCTCTTTCTGCCCAGCCCCTTTGGCTTAACTCTCTCTTGGAGCTGTCCCTTGTTCACACGTTCTTGGCACTCTTAGTTTCCTTTCCAGCCGAGACAGTAAATGCAGGTGACGGCTTGGCTTCTGTTGGGCGGAGACATGAGGGTGTGGTGAGCTGGCGTAAAGGTAAGAGACCAGGCAGAGGAGTTGTGAGGATGGCGGGACACCCTGGCTAGTGATGGGCTCGCACATGACAGGCAAGGACTGGGGGTTGGTTTGAGTAAATCTTGGCAGGAGTGAGGGAGACACAGGACGGGGAAGTGAAGTGTGATCCACCTGGAACACCTGGCCAGGGTATTTCCACATTATTCTGTGGCCTCTGGGGAGCTTTGGGAACAATCACAGCAGACAGTCGTGCAGCACTGGACCTGTCCTAGGCCATGGGCTAAGTCCTCCACACACATGAATTCCTGTGGTCCCTTCCAATGACCCCACAGAGAAGGTGCTGTTATTGTCCTCATTTTACACACGAGGAAACTGAGGCAAGGAGAAGTTATGGAACTTGCTCAAGGCCACACAGCTCACACATGGCTATGTAGCAGGGCCAGGATTTTACTTTAGCACTGAGGTTTCATGGTGTATGCCATGCATTCTCAGTGGGGGTGACATTGCTTCCCGAGATGGTGAAAATTGGTTCTTGTGCTTTATGCATAAAACACAGATATACATACAGTACATACGCAGATGGCATAGCTATGGAATTAAAATTCCATGGTGGGGGGAGGTGATTAGGAATATAATGTCTGAAAGGACTTGTTCGGGGTTGATAATTTAAAAAAGGTGGAGAAACCCTTGTCTAAGCTCTTAATCAGACCTCTCATGTCTAAAGCCCGGAGCTTAGAAAGTAACATGACAAAAGTGATAGTGTCAGAAAAATGAATCAATGGGTGGATGTGAGGGAAGCTGCCGGGTAAAGGGGAAGGAAGTGACATATACCAAGTGCTTCTCCATGCCTGGCCCTGTGCCAGGCACATTGTCCATAATATCTCTTTTTAGTCTTCACCTTCCAGTTATGTATTATTATTTCCATTTCAGATGATGAAGTGGTGAGAAGAGTGAGTCCTGGTCCACACAGCTGAAAAGGGGTCTCAAGTCAGGATTGGAACTTCCTGATTCCAAACACAGGCAGGGAACAGTGACAAGGCAGCCACGGGAGAGGGAGGCAGAAGAGAGAGGAAGGAATTTGCTAAAGGCGAATGCAGAGAATTGTAAAAGACCAGACATGTTGAGGGCCAAGTGAGAATCCAAAAGCTAATGGACAAGTCAAAAGCCACACACTGGAAGATCTCAGAAGCAAAAAAAAGTTTCTTCTTTCTCTTCTCCCCTTGACGGTAGAAAAAAAAAAATCAGACAGAAAATTGGAGAGTTGGAAAGGAGGAAAGTGCCACTTACTGCCTCCTTCTGTCCTAATGTTTACATTTGCACATCATCTGTTCCAAGATTCTGTTCAACAGTGATAAAAAGCGCTTCCCTTTTGGAACAATAGGTAACAGGATCTGGCAGGGAACTTCAGGAGTATTGGGGATAAAATATTTTTGGGCATCATTCAACCATTTGCCTTGCAATATTAAAAAACACTTCCCCCTCCCCAAATATGGTATGTGTCCCCAATAAAGTAGAACTTGCCAACGGAGAATAATGGAAAATGAATGAAATATAAATTGAATTGTAAAAATATTTCCGTTTTAGCCTTTGAATTACATAGGGAATTTCAAATTAATTGCTAAAGTATCTTTATGTTGCTTGCTGATATTCTCGAGGGTATGTTTTAAGAAATAAAGAAAATAATAGTTGGCTCTCATCATGTCCTGAATGCACCTTTTTCTGTACAGATAATACAATACCTGCGGCAATAAAATATCAGAACTCCTGGGTCCTTACCAATTGGTCAAATATTGAAAAATAGGCTGTCAGTTCAGCTAGCTGCCTAGGATATAATGCACCTATAGGGTAGCCTTAAATATGTGGCATCCGTGACTATAGAAGTGTCAGCTAAGTTTCCCAAAGTATTGGCTTCAAGAGGATTTTATTTCTCTTAAACTGTCATTCCAGCAACAACAAAAATCCAGGGCTTATGATGTAACACAAAGGTAGAGGGATGAATCCAGGAGCCTTGTATTAGTTGGCACAAATGCAGCAGGTCCACTGACCCTAAGAAACTAACAACCGGTGACATTATGGGGTCAAATTGTGCTTTGGGGCTGTAGTGGATACTGTCCAATCTAAAAATATAATTGGACCACAAAACGAGGGGGCGTCTGGGTCCAGCGTAAGCCAAATTAGCTTCTGATAAAATTTCTCAGTTGGACAAACGTGAACTAAGAATTGGAGACACCTCAGGTATAGGTTTTAATTCTTCAGAGCCAATAATGCATCTGAACAGATTGACATTCTTTCAAAAGTACATTTACAAGGTGCAAAGATAGTAAAGACCCTGAAAGAAACATGTGACCGGCCAGGGGCGGTAGCTCAAGCCTGTAATCCTAGCACTCTGGGAGGCCGAGGCGGGTGGATTTCTTAAAGTCAGGAGTTCAAGACCAGCCTGAGCAGAGGAGCGAGACCCCCGTCCTCACTAAAATAGAAAGAATTAATTGGCCAACTAAAATAATATAGAAAAATTAGCGGGCATGGTGGCGCATGCCTGTAGCCCCAGCTACTCGGGAGGCTGAGGCAGGAGGATTGCTTGAGCCTGGGAGTTTGAGGTTGTTGTGAGCTAGGCTAATGCCATGGCACTCTAGTCCGAGCAACAGAGTGAGACTTTGTCAAA